GCAGTAGAGTAAATCCCCGGCGTGCATAGGCCATTTGCTTCCGCTTTTGCACCCAACTTTGGAGCTGCCTTCCCCCACGAAGAATAGGGTCAGTAGAAAAGCGCCCCATCGTCGTCAGGACTTTATGGAGTAGGGTTTTCGATGATGGATAGCACGATCGATATGCCCAAGAAGAAGGGAACATGGCGCAACGTGATTACACGGAGGCGGTGAAACTGTTTTGGGGTCACGAAAACGCTCAGCTTTAGGACCAAGACTTAGAAGAGAAGGGGACTCCGAGGAGAGATGGTTAAGTAATTTCTATCCTCTCCAAAGTTGGGGTCCCCTCCCAAATTGCGCGAGGAACATAAATGACATAACCACAGACGCAGAGACTTATTTAGGCCGTTCACCTCACAAACAAAGTAATTTATACAATCGAAGGCAAGGCTACGAGCTACACTAAATACTGACAACCATGTGTCAGTTCAAATTTCTGTGTTGGTTCAGTCAGGCGTAGAATTACATGCCACTGTTTGCATTACACATGATGTTGCCGATTCGACGCTCTGAACGTTAGCAAGGGCCCTAACAATTTCGAAGGTTTTGTGCTTTGGTTTACCCATTACCTTTGTACTGTTTTGCGTACATGTACAACTTCAACGAAGCTTTGTTGTTCGTTGTTGTTGGTTTACGTTAAGTTATTGCTGTACATGCTTATCCTCACTGTGTAGTGTATGGTATCCCTTAAAGTGCATGATGTTTAATGTTCTAGTTGAAGTTTAGCGTTAACCTGATGAACAAGGAACGGAAACTTCTTACTGGGCAGAGGGCTGATGAAATTTAGTGTGAGAGTGAACTACGTAATGATTATTTTAGTGTCTAAACAGTTTGAGCATTTGTTCTATTTTCTTCATGCTACCATTATTTGTTTTTTTCCCCGTCGGTTGGTGAATACTACATGAACCCGAACCAATTATAGAAATGTTTGATTTATAGGTGAGTTCCAGGAAAAATGGCCTTGAACGTACTTGGAAATGACGGCGCCCAGGAGATATCTCACGTTGAAGACGACAAAAATGTAAGAATGTTTCCAGGATATGATTCCCACACAATTTTCATTGACTCTGATTTGTGACTTCGTCGTGATACCATTGTGTTTTAGGGAGAATCGCGGTTGGTTGATATTGATGATAGAGAAGAGTACTTTGTGAAACCATTGTATACCTACTACTGTAATTGTGGTCAAGTAGGTTTTTCTAGTAAGATAGTCCCTTCTCTGCCAGTAGAGATTCGTACTGTCATTTTCAGATGGCGATGATCAGTGATTGTCTGCTTATTCGTATGCCTCTACGAAAGCGTGATGGTGCCCGAGTTATTGACCCTGAGAGAACTACAGCAAAGACATTTTCTACACAAGGCGACACTGTGTATGTGCAAAGGTTTGTAAACCTTCAGTAATTCATAAGCTAAATCGTAGTGGTTATAAAGAAAAGCAACCTGACTGATTTAACATGTTGGCGACATCACGCGTTTTGGCTTTTCGGCCGCCTGGGACCAGATTTGCAGGCGCCCTCTCATCGCCGCATAACAATGGATTTTTGCGCTAATGTTCGATGTATTTATCTTATCGGGAGTTACAGCAATCGAAAAAACGAGTGTTATGTTCACGAAGGGGCAAACTTTACTTATTTTGGCATTAAAAACACGTAACTTGCCATATGAATAGGTTTGTATTCACTGTGAGGAATGAACTGATCAGCATTTTCGTAAGGTCTCGAAAACCTCTGCCAGAACTGGAGAATATTTGACCATTCTATAAGCTGCGTGGCCCTTGGTTCTGTTGGTTTGAGGCCTTAATTTCTGGAAGAAGTCAGGCATGCGCGCAAAAAAAGAATGTAATGGGTGTGGCATGCACAGTTGCCACAGCGTGCGTTGTGGTGCGAAAATGGCGGTATGCATAGTTACCGCGCTGTCGTCAAGTTGACTCACTTCGCAGATAGGATAAATTACTGTACCTACAAGTGGTCTGCATATGTATTATGCTCTTTATTGCATAAGTTATGCTCTTTCACGTTTTTATTCCACGTGTCTATTCTTCACAATTTATATTCTTTTATTTCTTTTATTTAAATTAGGTTAATACCAAATAAAGCCGGAATAATGGTTCTATTAGGCAAAGCTTCTTGTGTTTCGAACGATTTTGTTGTAGGCCTGAGGGATTGGAACAGCAATACCGAAAAAATTGTAAAGGTTGTGGCGTTCCACTCTTCTATCAGCATCCATTCAACTTGAAGCTGGTTTTCATATTTCGGGAGGCATTGCTTTCTGCTCAGGAAGTTGGTGGATTCAGCGGAAATAATGAAGAGCAAAGGGCCAAGAAGGTATTCTTTTCAAATTTAGTTGTGCCGTGAGATAGTTAGTTCAACACGTGTTATTCACTGATGCTAGTTTCTCGAACGTCCAGCCATACATAAATTGGAGCGAACACCATATTGCTTTCGTTCATGACGATTGTTTCAGATTATTATGAAGAGGAATGTTAAAAATCAAGGAAAAATGGGATCAGTCACTGTTTCTACGATGGAGGGAGAAGAAGAAGAGGAAATCGAGGCTGTGAGTACTTATGATGACTTTTCTGTGCCAGTTTTTTCAAACATGGTAGTCGCGATCGCTCCTACTGGTATCATTAGACTGGATGTAGATTGAATTGAGTTGAATGAGGATTATCCAGTTCCTGATTCTCATATTTGTTCCAAAATACGAAATCGGTTTCACGCTACGTTTTCGTAGTTCTGTCGGGACACTTCAGAATCAGTATTTAAAGTTTTGCATTATTTCAGCACATATATTGAACACTATTTTGTAGTACAATAATGCTCTTTTGTTCAGCGCGAAACGGCGGAGTCCTACTCGATGAATGCTCGTATTGTTCGAGATGCCTTGAAGCGAAAGGGAATGATCAAGGATAAACTGTTAGGCAGAGAAATCTCTGGCGGTCCAGCTCCTAAAAAGAGGGGAACTCTTTTGTGATGTTGTTTTCAAAGGTTATAATGTACGTTTCAATTTTATAAGCTTTGCTTGCAAGTTTCTTAGAGNTAANCNTCC